CATCTGCGCCCACGCCGTCGTCCCAGAGCTCGACGGTTACGTCCGGCGTCTGACTATCACCGTCGGTGTCGGGCCTCTCAACGGTGGCCATCACTCGGGCACCGATGATAGCGTTGGGACCCTTACGTACGTCGGCGTAGACCAGAGCTGTTGCCGGGTATCGCACCTCTAGGTCGCCAAAAAAAGCGTTGACCCGCACCGGGTGTTTGCGCGTCTGGTTGGCACCGGTAGGGCGCGGGTCAGACGTCACGGTCAACGAGGCTACCGGTGTGTCCGGCGTTGGCCGGTGTTGACCGATGTAGACCTCCCACACGCCGACCGGCGAGTCCTCTACACTGAACTCAATGTATTTAAATGCCGACAGTTTTTTGTATTTGTCGTGCGTCTGGTCGTAGGTCTGGCCGTCCGGTGCCTTGAATTTGACGGTAAGGTTGTCCGTGTCCTTCGAGTGCAGTGAGAATCGGGTGTTTTTGCCCAACTCTTCGTCGATTATCACCCGTTTGGTGACCGGTTTGTCGCCAATTATGATAACCTCCCGATTCATTATGGTTACCGTTTGGATCTCTACATCTCTCTAATATAAAATCATTATATTAGTATTAGTATAAATATTGCATGCATATAAAATACATAAAATTATCTATACTAATTCAATATAATATATATCTAGTTAATCAACAAAATAAAATAATCAAAACATATTTGTCTAATCCGGGGCTCAAACCCACGACCTATTGCTTTCACAAAAGAAATGGTATTATATTCAGGAGAGTACGGAATATCCCACGAGAAAAGGTTTGGTAAAAAACAAACTAATAATTGTTTGATTTAATAATTAAAAAACAGTTTGTATCAAATCAAACACGCATAATCAAAATGTCAATTATACATTGTAAGTCGATACTACTTGGGGTGCATTTACCTGCTGTGACACAAAACCCATGAACGCGGTCTCCATCGCCGTATTGGTGGCGCTGTCGTTGTCCTTCATATAAAAACATTTGCCCCCACTTTCCATAGAAATCCTTTCCAACCGGGCGTCTGACCCGTTGGACAGCGCTATGGAGTCCACCCGAACGCCAGCCTTCAACAGCTCCGGCATTATCTCTTCGATCTTCGGCTCATTTTGGTTCTCCTCTCCGTCGGTGATCAACACTATTGTCGACCCCTGGAGTCGACCCGACCCAACCCCGCTGGCACCCGACCCGAGCATATCCAGCGCCAGCTTCAAGCCCTTGCCTATGGCTGTCCAACCGGCCGATTGGGTCGGTATAACCGCTGCCAGCGCTTGACGTGAGTTATCGTTCACAGTCACCATAGGGTGCAACTGCTCGGCATCCGTAGAAAATTGCACTATGCCCAATTCCATGCCGTCCAAAATGAGATCGTTCACAAACCTGGTGGCAGCCCGGTGCAATCTACCCCGTCGGCCGTAATCGTCCATGCTGCCCGACACGTCTAGCACTAGGGCGAACCTGGTGCTCTGTCGATCATCTACTCTTAATAGTCGTATAGCCGGTTCGTAGTACTGGCCTAAGGTGTCTAGGTCCCTAAAAAATTGGTGATTAATAACTTTAATAATTGTAATAAACTACTTTATATAGTAATAAAATATTACTGGTTTTTAAAGTCCCTGTGCGATTCAATGACTTCCCAAGTGCTCCGGTAGTTGCACAGTATGTTTTGCTTATTGGGGGCGTATATATTGTGCCGCAATCGCGGATCAT